AAGGGCAGGGTACAGGTTACTAAAATGTCTTGCCCTGCAGCCCTCTACAATTGAGAGAGGCATAATTGATTGATGGTGTAGTTAAAAAGCAGTAATCTTCTGGAACATGGTCAGGTTGTGTTTCCGATTCGTTTTTATCTTGTGTCATATCATCGAATAGGGATAATTGTCGATGTTCAACAATTGATTTAGAATTTTCAATACTTGTTCCATGATAAGAATTCACCCATTCTGTCCATACATTATGATGCTGGGCAAACGATTCATCGACTTGTATACCAAAGCGAGTCCAGCCGCGTGGTATAACGTAAGTTTGACCACCAACAGTCCTTGTATCATCGTCTGATTGCTGATAACATCGGCTACAATAGCATCGATCATGCTTTTCATTGTAAAAACTAGTCGGCCATGCTTGGTTGCTAAGAAATTCGTGACCAACACGTAATTTTTCACATTCCGTCATTGTTGTCAATATATGATATGGAGATTATCTAACTAAATTAAACGAATTAAATAAAACATAAACGTATGGACTTCTATTTATTATGAAAGTGAAAAAAATTTCACGATTTTACTGTCACTTTCGGTAAAAAATAAATTTTGAGGGTATAAATGTGAAGCTGTAATTACTCCTGTTTGTGCCAGAGATGTAGTGTTTATTTAACAATCCACTCGCTATTCTTGCATCACATTCACATGGCACATTTGAAATCTATCGTGTCTTGCCTCTCGTTTTTCTTTTTTTTCTTTATGATTTGTTTCAATTTTTTTGCATTCTATCAAAGATGGCAAATGGTAACCGTAGAAAATTTAGAATAAACAACGCAAAACAATTCACTATACAAAAATAACAAAGAGTGAGAATGTAAGTATTCATGTCCTTGAGCCTGCAACTGTAGCAGTGGTTGAGATTCCAAGCGTGTATCTTTACTATCATTGAAGTTAAACCCGACCATTCTCACTGAGAGTGAGGGTGATAGAAGTGATACACACACTCCATTTACAAGTTTGCAATCAATCACGAATACTTGAAAAGGTTATTGAAATAAGACAAGAGATACTCTCACATCTACACTAAAAACTAATATGGTTATACTGTATCGTTTTTTTCTGAGGGATTTTTATTCATTGATTAATAGTGTTTTAGTCAAATAGAAAAAAAAGTGTAATTTCAGTCAGTTACATCGATGTTATTTGCTATTGGTAAGTAGGCTTCCCATATATTGAGCACCTTTTCTTGTTGTATCAACGTTTGTGCTATATACGCATCAATATTATTCTTAAATTCTTCAATACGATTTTGATCGAATATTTCAAGTTCTTGCTTGAGCGTCATAGAAATTTGTTGATAATCTTGCATGTCATCTGTAATTTTTTTCTCCAAATCGAGCATTTCCATTTCAAATTGAGGACCCTGAAATAAAAACGTATGATATGTATTTATTTCTTTTTTCAATTCCAACATTCAATAAATCTAAGAAGTGTTTCCTACCGTTTTAAGTTGCTTCTTTTGGAATGTGTCAACAGTAGTAAGCCAACGTTTATGGACTTTTGCTCGTTCATTAAAAGCATATTTCACCATATCCAGATGCAAGAGATACTCATTTAATAGTTCATTCATTAATAAAAATTCCTGTTCAGTGCGATCCGAATTGACCTGTTCTAGTTGCTCCTGAACAGTAGCCAGCTCGATAAAAGCTGAAGAAAGAAGTGTATATTCTTCACACACAGCCAAATGATTCAATGTGCAAGCAAATGCTTTACTTGCTGCATTTGACTCTTCTCGTTGCTTGTACAAATAGTCGAAGTAGAACTTTAATTCTTTCAAATCAGTTTGTAAATGAATAATAAACTTCTGAATAGACAAACACAAATATTTGTAAAAAAATTCTTCGTATAAAATTACGGATGACTATTGTCCTACATCTGACAAATTGCAGTAGAGAGCCGGAATACGAAACTCTATTCATTATAGGTCGTTTTTCCCAATCAAAATTCATTTTTTACGGATTTATTATACTCACATATTTTTCATCGAACCAGTCGCCTTCCTGTGCTTTTGTCGTTGAAGCTGTTAGAAGACTCCGCCAAAGATTATTTGCCGTTTTGGGAAGTCCTTCAAATTGTTCAAAGAACAACAAAAAACAAGGATCACAAATGAGCGACTTATTTCGAACGAGACGATTCAAATAGCGTTCGAGTTGAGCTCGTCGTCGTTCAATAGAATTGCTTGGTACGATGTTCGAGTCATTTTCTGGTAAAGCTGGGACAATAATACCTTTGGTTAGATGCTTTAAAATAAGTGCACCGTGCATACTGAGAACATCGAGGAAATCGTGATTTACTACATAGTGGCGTTTCTTGAATATGGGAAGCGAACTTTTCATCGTTATTCGATAAATTGTAGAAGTGGACCATTTCTAAAAGAAGAAAACGAGTTATTTCATACTCGCATATCTATCATTTGCAGATCTCCTAAAAGATAGCTACAGTATTACAACTCATTTCTGCATTTCTTAGGAAAAAAAACTATAGAACATTAAGTTTGAACGAGATAAAAGATCATTTAAACGATTACTACTGATTATTAAATTGCTCAAATCAAATCTACATACTTTTTTCTACTACAAAATTTTTTCAATAAAACTTTATTGTGTATGGCATGTATAAAGTTTTAGTAAAAAGTAATGAAAAAGTATAATATGAATAACCTTATCAGTTTGGTTTAAATACGAGACTGTAATTTCGATATTGCTTTTATTCCACGTCGTAACCAGAGATATTTGCGTTGGTTGAATCGGTCTGAAAGAAAACAGACAAACAAGGGCATACATTTATTGTAGTGACTCTAAGAACTTTTGTTCTGAAGATATACTAGAGTTTTGTATAGTGTAAGCTAATATCTCGTAAAAATTGTTCTTACCTAACGTCGTTGGTAACTTGCTGATTTTCTTGGTTGCCACATACTTGCTATAATAAAAGTTCAGTTATGTTCTTGTGAAAATTATTGATTGAAGTAGCTTACCGTGTGAATGATATATTCATCGAAATTTATAAGTTCATCACAATATTCACAAGGTATTTTTTCTTCAAGGAGTCCGAAATTGTCTGATGACATTTGTTCTGTATTGAAAAACATAAAAGAAAATATCGATGAATGGCTTCAAGTATTCATCAATATTTGTTCTTGTTTCACTTACCGTTAGAAAACATTTTCGCAGCTTCTAATACAGAATTGGATGCTCTGAACAAAATAGTTTGTATAGTAAATACCTAAAAGTGACAGTAGTCTTACGTCGAATCTGATTTGTGAACTAAACGCATCACTGCACGTCTTAGTTCTTTGAATGTTGGTCGTTCTTCTGGTTCTAATCTCCAACATTGGACGATAGTTAACCAAAGGTCTTCATCACAAATTTTCGGTCGAGGTAAATGATCCCCACGCAATTTACAGTGAATAATATCATTGTTGTTAATTAATGAGGAAAATGGAAGTGTTCCATAGGAGCAGGCTTCCCACATTAAGACAGCCATGGAATACAAATCAGATTTTTCTGAATAGAATCTGAGATCACCATTTGTTCGAAGTATTTCAGGTGCAGCGTATCTGACAGGAATAATCACTGTGGTTTGTAACGAAGATGTAGTCGCAGAAAAAATATCACTACCTTTAGTGAGACCGAAACCAGTCAATTTCACAAGATTCTCATCTGGAACAGTCGAATTACATCGAAAGACAAGTACATTGCGACACATTAGATCACCATGAACTGTTTTATTGTCAACAAGACAAATCATCGCATCAATAATTTGAATAAATATCTCGACAAGAACATTTCTACTTGGTTTGAAAGTGTTTTTCCTTAGTAATTCAACCAAATCACCCCTCTCAGCATATTCTTGCACAAGCATTACGCAATTTGGATCACTATCAACAAGTCCAAATGTACGAATAATATGCTGGTGACAGCTGAGTTGAACGTAAAATATAGCTTCATGGTTTGTCTTGGCACCATCGATTTTAATTATAACAATAGGTGGGCCTTGTCTAGTCACCCATTCGGCCTTGTAGATTGATGTCTCTGATGTTTGAAACCAAGGTCTTGAGTCAGTTTTACGAACATCGACATCAAGACGAAATTGATAGTCTTTCTTCTTAGAAACTGCTGAAAATTCTTCGATCATCTTACGTACAATATGATTTGGACGTAACGATTTAATATCCATGGGTTCTCGAGTAATCGGACTCGTACCATGTTGTTGCAGCCAAGCGGTAATATCTTTTCGCTCATACGTATGACCATCTTGTCCGATGACGGGATCAGAAAAAATATCACATGTCAGAGGGCAATTAAGTGAATCCATGTATTACAGGTGTATTGTCAAACGAAACGAGTTGTTGTGTTAGATAAAATTGTGTGCAAGAATCTGATGACAATATATAGATAAGAACTTTTCTCGGATTCATACAGCTGTTGACTCATCTCTATAAGAGATAAATTCTATCTGCAGCAGAACAGACTAAAACAACTTAGTTAATTCAATAAGATTTCGATAGTCAACGAAAGAGGATGCTATGTTTCGAAAGAGTGATTAGTGCATCTTTTTTGTCTTTTAACAAGCTTGCCAAAAGTTAATAAAAAACTAACATCTGTAGAAGTTACTTTCTTAAATATGAGTATTTAGCCAGAAGAATCATTTTAAGCACTGAGTCTTACGAAAGTGTAAAAGAATTTCTTTCAAACCGACGGAATCCGGATCATGACATCACTGGCTAATTATTATAGACCAACACTTTATTGTACTTTCGGAAGTCTACTTCGGATTTCAGAAAGCAAAACAAAATGTTTCATTCTAATTCATTTAGTTTACATAGAGCTTGTTGTTATTAAACGAAAAATGTCCTAATAGATGTATCAGTGAAACAATATTAATATAGATTAGTAAATTGCAATGATTCTTTTCTAAGCGCACTACTTGGAAATGAGGTTGATCGTATTTGAAGTTAAAAGTAAGTCCATTGTGATACATTTTTCTTAGGATGATTGATATAACTCTGTACTATTTATGGCTATATGATCATCGTATCCTCCAGCGACTAAGATTTTTCCGTTTATCAATATCGAAGCTGTGTGATCGTTTCGCATATGGTTCATGTTTTCAGTAATGATCCAACTTTCTGTGGATGAATCATACAACTCAGCGCTATTCAAAGCACTGCTAGAATATCCACCAGTAATTAATACTCTTCCGTTTGCTAATACAGATGCTGTATGATCGAACCGTTCATCCTTCATGTTATTGATAACTCTCCATGTTCCTGTAGCTGGATCATATAATTCAGCACTATTTTCACCACCGATTCCACCAGTCACTAATACTTTTCCATTTGCTAATACAGATGCTGTATGACGTTGTCGCGCGATCGTCATATTACCTGTATATGTCCATGTTTCTGTGAGCGGATCATACAATTCAGCACTGTTTTCATTACTATCGCTACTTCCACCAGCGACTAAAACTCTTCCATCTCTTAGTATGGATGCT